AAGCCAGCCAAAATCCCATTACCTAGCAGCAACCACTGTTAACATTTTTGTTAACAGTGAGCTATTTCTATGAATGTAGATGCATAAGTAAAATATATTAAAGTGGAATACTACTATAAAGAGCACTTTGTAACATGCTTTTATTTTTCACTTAGCAGTAGGTCACAGGAATTGCTCCAAGTCAATAAATCATTTCATCATTTTTAAAGTCTGCATCATATTTCACTGTACAGATGAAATGGTAGCACAATTTATTCACCTAGTCTTCTACTGATAGACATTTAGGTTACTTCCAGTTGTTCACCATTATATGTAACATCTTCCTTGAAATAAATGCCTAGAAGTACAACTCCTGAATCAGAGTACATATTTTTCAAATCGGATATACATGACAAATTGCCCTTCAGACGCTGTTCCTCTTTTATGCTCCCATTAGCAGTGTGTAAGACTTCCCCTCAGTCTTGCCTAAACTGGGTATTATCTTTTAAAAATCTTTGTCAATCATTTTTCAACTAATGTCAAGGTTGAAAACCTAAGGGTGCCAAGACAATTCAATGTGAAAGAATAGCCTTTTAAACAAAATGTGCTTGGACTCATATAGCCATATGCAAAAGAAAGAAGTTGAACCTCTGCCTTACACCATATATAAAAATTAACTCAAAATGGACCATAGACTTAAATACAAGAGCTGGAACTATAAGACTCAGGAAACCTAGGAGTAAATCTTCATGACCTTGTATTAGGCAAAACTTTCTTAGATATGACACCAAAAGCACAACAAGCCAAAGAGGAAAGAGATAAATTGGACTTAATCAAAATTTAAAACTTTCGTGCTTCAAATGATACCATCAAGAAAGGGAAAAGACAATGCATGGAATGAGAGAAAATATTTGTGAATCATATATCTAATAAGGGACTTGTATCCAGAATAGATAAAGAACTATTAGAGCTCAACAACAAAAAGACAAATAACCCAATTAAAAATGGGCAGAGAATTTGAATAGACATTTCTCCAAAGAAGATATACAAATGGCCAATAAGCACAAAAAGAAGCTTAATGTTATTAGGCATTCGGGATATGATAATCAAAACCACAATGAGATACCACTTCGCACTTACTAGGATGCCTATAATTAAAATGATGGACAACAGGTGTTGGTGAGGATGTGGAAAAATTGGAACCCTTGTGCATTGCTTGTGAGAATGTAAAATGGTGCAGCTGCTGTGGAAAACAGCTTGGCAGTTCCTCAAAAACTTAAACATAGAGCCAGCAGTTTCACTGTTAGTTATATACCCAAGAGAATAAAAATGTATGTCCATATGAAATTTGTACATGAATGTTTATAGCAGCATTATTCATAATTGTCATAAATTGGAAACAACCGAAATGTCCATAAACTGGACATTTTGGTTGTTTATCCATAACAGAATAGATAAACAAAATGTAGTATATACATACAATGGAATTTTTTTCAGACATGAGAAGGAATAAAGTACTGATATGTGCTTCAACATGGATGAACCTTAAAAATATTATGTTAGCTGAAAGAAGTCAGGCAAGATGACCACATAGTGTATGACTCCATTTATATGGAATGTCTAAAAAAAGCAAATCCATAGAGACAGAAAATAGATTAGTGGTCGCCAAGGGCTGGGAGTAATAGGGAGTGACTTCTAATGAGTATGGGGTTTCTTTTTGGGATAACAGGAATGCTCTGGAATTTGATAGTAGTGATGGTTGCACAACTCTCTGAACATACTAAAAACTACTGAATTGTACACTTTAGAAGTGATCTTTATGGTAACTGAGTTACATCTCAATAAAACTGTAAAAAATGTTTATCAATTAGGTAAGATGAAAATGATATCTCATCTTTAATTTGTACTTGTCTATATAACTAATGGGGCTGAATATTTTTTCAGGTATTTATAAGGAATTTGTTTTCCTTTATAAGTTACCTGTTTATGTCCTGTTGGTATTTTTAAATTATTTATTAATAAGTGCTCTGTATATATTAAGAATATTAACCCTTAGTCTGACATTCATGTTCAAACTATTTTCCCCACTTGTTGTTTGCTTTTAAAATTTTATTTATGTATGTATATATACATACACAAACACACATACAGGGGAGGGTGATGAAGAAAAATTTCAAATTTTTATTTAGGATAAAATTGATCTTTATGTTTATTGCTCTCATGTCATGAGAGCCTTCCCCACCCCAAGACTATATCAATATTCACCTATATTTTCATCTGATACTTCTGGTTTCATTTTTATGTGAAATCTATAATCTATATAGATTAATATTTTAATGTATGCCTTGAAGTAAAGGTCTAATTTTCTTTATTTTTAATGGTTAGCTACTTGTCCCAATACCATGTGTTAAGTAATCATCTTTCCCCCAATGAACATGAAATGTGACCCTTAACACATACTAAGTTCTTACATATTCTTAAGTCTATTTCTGGACCTCCTTCTCTGTTCACTTATTTTTCTATCTCACCAGTACCCCTCTGGGACAGTTTAGCAAATGGAAAGCCAGTGGACAAATGACAGAAGACCAGAAGTTTATTCTCTGGAGACATGGGCTCAGAGCGGCACTGGACTTGGGGACACAAGGCCCAGGTGAGAGTGCATCTCCATTAACCATGTAGGTAAGTAGAGAACATACCTTTCAGAATGCACAGTGCCACCACTAGTCCTATGCTACCCTCCATATTATCTCCCTCCCTATTTATTATCATTCTTCCCCGGAAGAATACACAGTTGACCCTTGTTTTTTTGGCCTCACTATGCGGCGTGTGGGATCTTAGTTCCCTGACCAGGGGTTGAAACTGTGCCCCCTGCAGTGGAAGTGTGGAGTCTTAACCACTGGACAGCCAGGGAAATCCCCACACTTGACCCTTGAACAATGCAGGTTCGTACTGTGGGGGACCACTTATACGTGAATTTTTTTTCAATAAATACAAATTACAGTCCTATACAATATAAGGTTCATTGAATCCGTGGATGCAGATTGGATGTGGAGGGCCAACTGTAAAGTTATACATGGATTTTCAACTTCAGGGAGGATTGGCAACCCTAACCCTTGTGTTGTTCAAGAGTCAGCTGTACCATCAGTCAAGATGTAAAATGATATCAGAAGGATTTCTGGTTAGTCATGATGGATTTAACTCATATGCTTATCTCCACATCCTCCCAAATCCTTAAAAGGATTTAAAGATAAAGTTGAGGAAATTTTCCCAGAAAGTAGAACAAAAAGGTAATGAAATATACTAAATGACAAATAAAATCAAAGGATCAGTCCAGGAGGTCCAATATCCGACTAATCAGAGTTCAAGAAAGAGAGAAAAAATCAAATGGAGGGAATTAAGTGGAAGTCTACATCCCAAATGGCGAGATACCCCTCCAACTCCCCTTTCCCCACTTAGTTCCAGAATGCTAATAGCTAATCTCCAAAGGCAGGAGATTGGAGGATTCTTTTCTGAGGAAAGTGACTGGTTTATTTTTTATTTTAAAAAAATATTTATTTTTGGCTGTGTTGGGTCTTTGTTGCTGTGCGTGGGCTTTCTCTAGTTGCGGTGAGCAGGGGCTACTTTTCATTGACGTGCATGGGCTTCTCATTGCGGTGGCTTCTCTTGTTGCAGAGCACGGGCTCTAGGCACGCGGGCTTCAGTAGTTGTGGCTCGCAGGCTCTAGAGCGCAGACTTAGAGTAATTGTGGTGCATGAGCTTAGTTGCTCCGCGGCATGTGGTATCTTCCCGGCCCAGGGATTGAACCCACGTCCCCTGCATTGGCAGGCGGATTCTTAACCATTGTGCCACGAGGGAAGTCCAAAGTGACTGGTTTAAGAGTGAACATCTAAGATAACCAAATTTCTTTTATTTTAGCTATAATTTCCAAGGGCACTTTTTTTGTCTCTATAATTATTCATTTTTCATAGCATCCTGTTTTTATTTCATTGATGTAACATCTCTTCTCTTTGAGAAGATAAAGTTTTATTCTGATATCTGAATTGTCTCCATTTTCTCCAACTTCCTTTTTACTAGCTCAGATTTCTGGCTCTAGTGTTAGAGTCTGTTAACCCAAAACAATAAAACAGCCAGTTATTTTACCAGCAAAACGAGTTTATTTGGGAGCAGCAAAGAATTGCACCTCAGGACACACAACTACGGTGAACTACGTGCAAGTCTAGTTAAGAAAAAGAAAGGAGACTCTTTTATAAAGAAGGGGAAATTGGGAGTGGCTGTTAAAAACAAAAAGTCCATTGGAGGAAACTGGGACTTTGAAGTATAGCGGCCTTTCACTGGCTGAGCTGTTGCCAAGCAAGGAGAAATCTTTCTTCCTCCCAAGGTGGTATAGTAGTGTCAATTCTTGCTAGAGATGCAAGGTAGGTCTCTACCTGTCAGGATCTCTATGGATGTTGCGTGGTATGTACATGAGAGCTCCCCCTCTGGCCTCCCAGCTCCATTTTAGTGAGATTTCCTTTTGTTAATTTTCACAAGTCTTTCCTGAGTATCTGACCATCCTTGAATGTCCGTTCATATTTACGAGAGAGGGGCTAAACAGATGACTGGAAGCGCTGATGTACTGATAGGTCTTAGAGACTTGTGGGTATCACTCCATGGTGATCAGGAAGCAAGCAGGCATTTCCATTGAGAGACCTCCAAATGCCAGTATTTTCAGTACCTACGGCTGTAAAGGATGAAATTATCAAGCAATAATACAACACAATTCCTTTGGATTTCCAGGTTGAAATGGCCCATCAAGGCATATTATAATGAAAATCAGAAAACCAGAGATCCTGAAAGTGTCCTAAGAGAGAAAAAAGTCATAATGAAGGCTTCCCTGGTGGCGCAGTGGTTGAGAGTCCGCCTGCCGATGCAGGGCACACGGGTTTGTGCCCCAGTCCGGGAAGATCCCACATGCCGCGGAGCGGCTGTGTCCGTGAGCCATGGCCGCTGAGGCTGTGCGTCCGGAGCCTGTGCTCCGCAGCGGGAGAGGCCACGACAGTGAGAGGCCCGCGTACCGCAAAAAAACAACAAAACAAAACAAAAAAAGTCATAATGAAAGAATCAAAAATCAAAATGATATGAGACTTAATAGACCACGGGGAACTAGAAGACAGTGGAGGAATTGATGCCTTCTGAGGAAATTCTGAGGAAAAGGATCCTCCTCTTAGAACCTAACACACAGCCAAACTGTCATTCAAGAGTGAGAGAAGAATAAAAATATTTTCAGACATTCAAGATCTCAAAATATTAACCCTCCACGCACCCTTTCTCAGGAAGCTACTGGAGAACACCCTCCCTTAAGGGTAGCTGTAGTGGGCCTCCAGGACAACCGAACACAGATGGAAACAGAGGACAGGGGCTCCAGGAGGTATGCTGGAAAATAAACATGAAGATTACCTCCTGTGCAGCCGCATTGAGAGGTGACTTTGCAGCTTTGACAGAGAAATGAAAACAATAAAAAGAGGTCATTCTTAACTCCAGGAAAAATAAAAAGTTGTACAAGAAATATAATTACAATATGTTATAGGGCTCATCTGTAAACATTATGTAGTCACATAACATAAATAACCAACACCGAAAGGAGGTGGGAAGTCAAAGCTGTGTGGGAGTGAGGACCTGAGAACTAAATCCTTATTTTTCATAGTAGGAAGTCAATATTTAATGTTCAAAAAACATTGGATGTAATATAACCACATTATTTATATAAAAGAAGGCAGACACCAGAGATGACAGCTAGAAGAATTGAAGTTGCTCTCTCTGGAGATGAGGGAGGAAAGTGGGAGGGGCCAGGCAGGAGCATGCTGTTTTGGTAACAAGCTCCGTAGTAGTCTTTTTTTGCGTTTAAAACTCTCTCCTTGTATTACTCGGAAACAAATGAAATTTAAATCAAAAAGCTTGCGAGCTGTTAGAGGTGGCCCCTGACTGTGGGTGTGGATGCTGGGAAAAGGTGTTCTGCCTGCCTGAGATCTATTCCGAAAGGGCTGGAGGTCCCCAGAGCCCAGAGGACAGACGGTGTGGGAGAGGCCAAGGGCCTTTACGCCTTTTCTGGGGCACTCTGCTCCTGGGATGGAGGTGGGTGTGATAGGGGCTCAAAATTGGGTTGGATTTTCTTCATACAGCTGCAACGTGCACTTTATAAGGGTAGAGATGTTGCCAAGACTCTGACATTACATTTCTGTCAGATTTTGTACAGTGTTGGGAGATTCCTAATTTCCCGATGTCTTCAAATGTGTTTTATTTTTTTTAACATCTTTATTGGAGTATAATTGCTTTACAATGGTGTGTTAGTTTCTGCTTTATAACAAAGTGAATCAGCTATACATATACATATATCCCCATATCTCTTCCCTCTTGCGTCTCCCTCCCTCCCACCCCTCTGATGTGTTTTAGAGAGAAGTTGAGAGAGTGCAGGGGGCCACTCAGAAGCCACCGTGTTTGGACATCTGGGTTCTTCTTTCTACAACAGCCTGAGCAGGTCAGCCTCCCTCTCGCTCTCTTTTTCTCCTCTCTCTTTCTCTCTCTCTTAAATTGAGGAGTAATTACAGTAAAATGCACAGATGTTAAGCATATAGTTGGTGAGTTTTAACAAAGGTGTTCACCAACACCCCAATCAAGATAGAAAGCACTGCTATCGCATCCCCCTGTATCCCTTCCAGTGCCCCATCAGAGGCAACAGTTGTTCTAAATTATATCCCCAAGAGACAATTTTGCGCATTCTTGGACTTCATATGAATGAAATCATACACCTGTACTCTCGTGTGTCCGACTTCTTTCCCTCAACATATTTTTGAGATTCATCTGGGTTGTTGAATGCATCAGTAACTCATTTCTTTTTTTGATGAGTACGATTCCAGTGTATGAATAACATTGCTATTTATTCATTTTCTTAACAAGTCTCTTCTTTCTCAAGACCGGCCCTGTTTCTGAGCTGGAGCAAGTCTTCTTTACATGACTCTTTTTACTAACACACTAATGAGGTTGTTTCCACTGAGTGGAGTTGAAAGATTAAAATTTAGGCTTTATGAAGGACCAGCATCATTTACCCACATGTTATAAATGGAAATTGGATGTAATACATGCTCATTTAGGTTGAAGCTATTTGTGCACCAGGAGACCAATTAAAAGCCTGTGACAATAACCCAATGTGAGGTAACTGAAGTTTGCACCAGAGTTTTTGCTGTGAAAAGAGAAAGGGAGGAACAGATGGGATAAATATTTCACAGGAAAACTTGACAGGGCTTTGTGACAGATTAGGTGTATGGGATGAAGGGGCAGGATGAAACAAATGCTATTTCCGGGTGGACATCTGCCTGGTGGGTCCCTCTTCCCTTTCACCTTGGGCCAGTCACTCCCTCTGCAAGCTCTGTCCTGTTGGGAAGTTTAAGGAGCTCTGATTCAGTGGCTCAGCCTGCCTTCCATGCCCACTTGTACCTTTTATACACACCTCGCAGCTATTGAAAGGCATAGTGAAATTGCGGAAAGAACACTGAGTTTGGACTTGGTTAGTTTTTCATTCTTTCACTTGCTTAGGCTCCCTAAGTCTCAGTTTCCTCATAGGTGAAATGAAGGTGAGTAAATATCCCCACCCTACCAGATCGTTTTGAGAATCAAGGAAAGTGACTTCAAATTTCTTATAATGGTTCACAAGAAACTAATAAGAGAAATCACCTGTAGGAGGGGTATGAGGGATGGGGGAAGAAGTGGGAGTTAAACTTTTAGTGAACACCTTTTTTTTTTTTTAAACCATGTGAGCGTATTACCTTTTAAAAAGAAAATCCTAAACAGAATCAAATAAGCTGTCTCTACAAATGATTAGGCATTCTACACTGCTGAAAAGGACAGAGCCTGGCTACCTGCTGTCTGTGAGAATCTTGAGGTCCATTAGCCCAGAAGTCCTATCACTCCAGGATAGCTGACAATAGCAAATTATTTCACCTTAATGACAAAAAATGGGTTTTGGGTTGCAGTGAGAGAACTCTGCTCCGAGAGTAAGGAGATCTGGATCCTGGTCCTGGCTTTTCTGTGTCATTCAGGTGTGTTCCTTCTCTTCTCTGTGTCTTCTATTGAATGAAAGAGTAAGACTGCATGATCTTTGAGATGCTTCCAGCTCTGACATGCTAGAATATAATGCTAACTTCTAAGCAACAGAGGGTCTCATAATGTGATATCTGTAAAGGATTTGCTGGCGACATTTTTGTATCTAAGACAGGAGCAGGGCAAAGAATCATGTGCTTCTCTTTTCACCTTTTATTTCCTTTGATACTGAAGTACCCAGAAGAAATGAGTCAAATGGAGTGTGTTTTCCAGAAAAGAAAATTGAGCTGTGTTTCAGTAGAACCATTGGTGCAATCCCATTGCTGTTTGCTACTGACATTAGCCAAAGGGTGTATCAGTGGTATTTTATGTATACACGGCACTTTATATGGATAAAGTTATATCCACTCTATATGGATAAAGTGGATCCACTTTATATGGATATCTACTTTATATGGATAAAATTCCTATTCAATGAATAGGAACTCAAAGATCATATAGTTCAAATTCTAACAAGACTCAAACAATGGCCTTTGGGGCTTCCCTGGTGGCTCAGTGGTTGAGAATCCACCTGCCAATGCAGGGGACATGGGTTCGAGCCCTGGCCTGGGAAGATCCCACATGCCGCGGAGCAACTAGGCCTGTGAGCCACAACTACTGAACCTGTGCATCTGGAGCTTGTGCTCCGCAACAAGAGAGGCCGTGACAGTGAGAGGCCCGTGCACCGTGATGAAGAGTGGCTCCTGCTTGCCGCAACTAGAGAAAGCCCTCGCACAGAAACGAAGACCCAACACAGCCAAAAATAATAAATAAAATTAAAAAAAAACAAACAAAAAATCAATGGCCTTTGTTGCCAAGGAACTCATCTCCTGAGGTGCTTCATTCCGTTTTCATCTTGCTCAAATCATTAGGAAACTGTTCCTTAGGTTGAGCTGAAATCTTGACTTCATGATCACTATTAGTGCCAGCTTGGCTCTCTGGGGCTACAAACTACACCTATGTTCTCTCTGGCCAAGGTTGCAAACTGCTGAAATGCAGGCAGTATTAGACCGTGACTTGTTGGCTCTTAATAGTGTTTAAAAATATCTCAATTAGTTTTCGACATTAAAACATCATGAGTTTTTTGTTTGTTTGTTTACATAAACTGTTTCTGACTTTTCTGGAAAGATCAAAAGGTCTGTGCAGCTGCCTCCCCAATATGATCCTTCCCTTTTTAGTAAACAATTCAAGGCTTTGTTCCAGTCCCTATCCTCTCTGGCTCAGCCTATGTGCTGTTGGGAGAGGCTGATCCCACCCCTGGTTCTAGAACAGGGCATGCAAACTAGTCCTAATTCATCAGCATAGCCCTACCTTTTGTCACCTTTGTTGATTCAGAAACAAGCACTGCTTCAAGACTGGGTTCCTTGGAAACAGAATCCAAGATGGAGAGCTGCATGCAGAAGGCTTACTGAGGAGTGTCTGTAGGACACAAACCTATGGGGACCTGAAGAAGACAAGGGTGGGGGTGGAGAGAAGCGGACCAGCAAAGTAGGTGCAATGTAGTTACAACCAAAGCCTCAGCTGATCCCAGGAACTCAGGAATGGGGATGGCCCTTCAGAGTTGTCCCAAACTGAAGTAAGGGGGCCAGACATTTGTATTCCCACATCAGCCAGTCACAGGCCTCAGGCTGCACCCTGGAAGGGGGTGTAAAACCTTGGGGGAAGTGGTTTCCTAAGGCTCAGAGCAAGACTATTCCCAGCAGCTGAGGGATTCATGTGTTGCCCCAGAAGAGGGGACCTGGGCTGAGCCCCATAGTATTTCATACAGGCATAAGACTCAATCCAGATTAATAGAGATTTGCTAGGACTCCTGAGAAAGAGGCTTCCAGAAGTGACCTGTATCTCTCTGGATATGGACAAGGAGCTCTGGGACTTGTCCTTAGCCATCTCACATCAAGGTCAGCTTTGATAACACTGGTGCTCTGCTGAATCAAACCAACCCTGAAGCTTAAATTACCTGGACTTTTAGTGTGAGCTTCATCGTTAAGTCAGTTTTCTGGTTGTGTTTTAATTACTTACAAATGAACATACTTTGACACATTCTGCATTGCAGAGCTACATTCCCTGGCAATAACCCGCTGAATAGCAGCTGCCTCCCTTTAAGATGGGTCACTTGGCTTCCAGTTTACTAGTGCCCACTTGGCTTTTAGAGGTGGTAGCCGAGAGCTAAATCCTAGTCTTCTAATAATATGAAGTCAATAGATAATGTCTAAAGTGGAAAAACCAAGACATAGAACAGAGCATGTGTCTATAAATAGGAGGTAAACATCAGAAGAAATAGCTAAAAGTGTTGGCAGCAGTTGCCTCTGGGGAGCTCTGTCAGGGTGGGATGGGACAAGGCACTGCCACTGGTTTTTGTGGGAAGCTTTGAAGGGCTCTTTAATTTGAAACTCTGTGTATCCCCGGTTGCTAATGCATGCCCTGGGGCCTCTTGCCCTGCTCTGGGACTCTCCCATCTCCTAGCTCTCTTGCCTTCCTCTGGCCTTTCTTCTGGGTAGGGGGTTTCCTAAATGCTGGTTGATAATCATCTTAAGCAACCCTTTCTCGCTTTATTATCTTATGCATTCTCTCCGCTCCTGGGAGACTTTGTTCCCTACTCCTGATCTCTCCTCTTTAGCTCCTGATCCCTATTTGTTCCACAGGATCACCTTGGAATTCCCCTACCCTATTTCCAACTTGCATGAGGAGGTAACCAAGGTCTCTCCTAGCCCTAACATGCTATGAGGTCTGAAAAATTATATGGAAACATTTAACAAGTCATAAGAATGGATCTCTTTCATTTACTTAATATCATTAGCCATTTTTTTTCTTTTGTCATGTTGACTGAAAAAATGCACACCCTAAAAGTTGAGAATTATGTTTTATTTGGCTAACAAAACTGAGGATGAAAGCCCAGGACGAAACCTCTCAGATAGCTCTGAGGAGGTAAGGGAGGAGCCGGGATATAGAGGAGTATTTGCAGCAAAGAGCAAGATAGTCAGAACTCCAAAAGATTACTGTTTTTCGTTTTAATGCTTTATTTATTTATTTTTGGACTGTTTTTTACTGTGGTAAAATTTATATAACATAAAGTTCACCATTTTAACCATTTAAAATTATACAATCCAGTAGCATTTAGTTATGAAACCACCACCACTACTTAGTTCCAGAACATTTTCATCACCCCGAGGGAAACCCCGTACCCATTAAGCAGTCACTCCACCTTCTGGCCTCCCCTTACCCTGGGCAGCTCCTTATCTGCTTTCTGTCTCTATAGATTTGCCTATTTTGGACATTTCATATAAGTTGAGTCATATAATTTGAAGTCTTTCAATACTGTGAAAAAGCCAAGTAACATCTTAATATTATTAGGAAAATAATTTTGATCTTATGGACCTCCTGGAAGAGTCTCAGGATCCCCCA